TAATAATAATGAGTTATGTAAAAAATAATAATTTTTTTATAAAATTTTCTCTATCTAATTTAAAATTTAAAATTTATAATTAAAATTTTTAACCATTAATTTACTTTTTTTTCTTTTTGAACAAAGTGTCATGGAGTTTCAACCCAATCCAAGGAGAAGTAAAACTACTCCTTAACAAAATGATAAGAACCACTTAATTCAACGGTTCAGGTGTCATTGATTTACTTTCTTAGGGGTTAATAATTATTAATTATTAATTATTAATTATTTTAAAAAAATTAATCCAAATCACCTATAAAAAAAAAAAACCATTAAAAAAATAACGGCAGCCCCATGTCACATTCTCGAACAACCGTCACTGTCTCTTCAAGAAAGCCAATGAGCTTGCGGTTTAACGATTACGTCTCTTTTGGAGAAGGGTAATGACATTCAGAAGTTTCAACAGTCAAGTTTTGACAATTCTAATATTCATCCCTCAGTGGTACCAGTTTAGGAAAAAAAGGAAAAAAGGGCCAATGAGCTCGCCATCCTCTGCGCTGCAAAAGTAAGAATTATTACCTTTTCATAACATCAATTCCGTCATGGATTGAGATAGAAGAAGCTAGTTGCTAAGGGCTACCGAGCTGACATCCACCAATTACCATAACCGCACTGCTCCTGCTTCTGCATCTTCAACTTCTGTTATTCCTTCTTCTCCCCTCTATTTTAAAGAGATGCTAAATAATTTTTTATTAATGGAATTCGAGATTTAATTTGATTTGATTCAGGGTTTTAGGGGTTTATACCACTTAATTGTGTTTGTATAAATATTTTTGTCTGTGCTGTTTGCTGTTCCTTGGGCTTCAATGTGACAAAAACAGAAAATTGTTAATGAAATCTGGCCTATTGAATTCTAGCTTTCTTTTGGAGTTATTTTTCTGATAATTGAGTACCCTCCAATTTTTCAAATCTTTCCTTGGGTTTTGAATATTAACTTGGGATTTATTTGATCTGAAGGGAGGGAAAGATTATTTTGTTTAATCAAATTAAGAGATTAATCCCTGAACATCTGAAAATTTAAACAAGCTCTAAAGAGTACTTAATTTTGCATTTTTTTCCCTTTTTTTGCCACAAAATGGGTGTTTATTATTGAGAGTGACAAAACTAGTAGTCCAAAGGCAAGTACGGGATCAAATTTAGTTAGGCTAGCTAATACATGCTCTTAATGTTGAAAACTAGTAACACTCATACAGTTTAATATCCATCTTAAGGCGAAAATACTTGATTCCCTCAAAAGCCTGGGTGGTAATGGTTGCAATTCCTCTAGCCATGAAAAAATCCCCCGTTCCACCGACCACCGAGAAATCCCTTGTCTTCTCCATCATCAGGTCGGCTCCCACAATGTTCAAAGTCCCCTTGTGCTCGGTGGAATTGAAGATGAGAGAATAAGCAAACCAAGTAGTGAAATCGGTTTTCATGTCGTAGACATAAATCCCCTGTGCTTTAGCCACCGGTGGAGAGTGCAAATTTTCATCCAGGGTCACTGGATCGTCGAAAACAATGAGCTTGCCGAAGACATAGTTGCCTAGCTTGGTGGGGTTGGTGACGGCTGCAGAGGTTGAATTATCCACATCGGTGCCATTGGCATTCAAGAGAAGGTCATGGTAATAGAGGACCATACGTTTGCAGGGGTTTTGAGGGTTTATTGTTTTTCGGGCAGCAAAGGCAGATTGAGATACAAGGAAGAGGAAGAGGAAGAAGAAAATGAGGAATGATGTGTTTACAATGGATTTCATGGCTAATTGTGTTTTGGTCTGTGTCTTCTGGTCTTTGCTACTTGTGTAAGATTAGGAACAAGTTGTCCGGTTATATAGAAGTTCTAGGCGAGGGGGGGTGGGGTGATTGTTTCTTTGCTTTGAAAAAGTCAGTGTGGTAAACTATAAATTAATTCGTGATTTCATTTAATATCAAAAGTTTTACATAAATTAAAAATTAATTATTTTAATAACATGTCAAATTATATAAAAATATAAGATAAAAAGATTGTACAAAAATCATTTCTTTAAATTAATTGACCGACAAATTATTATACAATTTATAACAAAAATTATTAGATAGAAGTAAATATTTTGATATTTGAAGTCTTTTTTTTCTTTATTTAATTATCTCTGCATCAAATTGCAAAAACATAGAATCTTTAGATTTATTTGAGAATGTTTCTTTATACTTTAATTTTTTATTTTTATATAATATTTTATTATTCTAAAAATATATATAATATAAATTAAAATAAATATTAAATATATATATATTTTTAAAATATTGAAAAATCAAAAAAGTTATAATTACCGTTACAATTTAGTACTCTCAAATTAAGCCACGATCGACTGTACTGCTAGCCAATTTGTGAACGCCAATTTTGGCGACTTTGAAATTTGGATAAAGTTGTGCGATGGCTAAAGGCATGTTAGATGAAGTGTCGAGAGCTCAAGTGGAATAATAGTATAATACGCGACATGGAGATCTAACTTTTCAAAAGGTAACAGCTTCCCACTTAGGAAGATAGTGGGGTGTTTGGTGAAATTATACAAAATCAAAATTAAATAATGAAGTGGGGTAGCGAAACCCTTCATCCCTTTTGTTCCGATTTTTTTTTTTTTAATTCTTTATTTCTTTCCCTTTTTTTAGTGATTTTATTTTATTTTTTAAGGGTTTTTTTAAGGGTTCTTGCTTTCCCTTAAAGCTTATGAAGGAGTTTATCTCATTAGGTATAATCTATATAGGTTTTATCATTATTTTATATCTCTTTTATTGAAGATTTGGAGGACTACAAGTGATTGGTATGAGTTATGTTGCTTTGAAATGCTTTTTAGCAATGACTTATCTCAACACTTACATTTTTCATCCCTTGGTTTTAGTGGATTATACTATTTTATAGCTTTATTATCAAATTAAGATCTAAATTTAATTATAATATTTATGTAAGTATAATCATTAAATTGCTCCATTATCATGTGCTTAATCGAGTATTTTACACTTTTAAAGTTAAATATTATAATGCATTTGTTGCACTACTGTGTAACCCTTATAATTTTTTTATTATTGATGAATGAATATACTTTTCCTTAAAAAAAGAAAAATGTAGTGACATTATATTTCCAGCATTGCCTTTAACAAAAACGAATGATCTCTTCATTTTAATTTAGTTTGTCCCACTTATTAATTTGTTTAATTTCAGTGTTTTAATTTAGTTGTCATATTATTTTTATTTTTAATGAGGTATAAATGTTATTATTATAATTTTTATGTTTATTGTTTTAATCAATTTATAAAGATGATAAAATTTTAATATGGATAAATACATTATTTTAACATTTAAGTATTGAATTTTATAGTCATTTCTCACTCTTAAAAAAATTAAAATCACAACTTATATTTAAAAATTATAATTTTAATTCAAAATTTAAAAATTTAATCAATTTTTAAATTTAAATATTAATATTCAATAAGATAATTTTTAATTTTTAAATTAAATTTTAATTAAATAAAATGATATAATTTAATATTAAAATTTTAATTTTTTTTTAAAAATAACAACCGATCCGAATGAAAATATGAGACAATTAAAATGTAACAAATAAAGGAATAAATCCGGGGTAATCTGGTCAAGACACTACCTAACTACCATTAGAAAACGTAACAAGGACATGTGTTGACGAGAATCTTAGGTTTGACTAGTGAGTGACGCAATTAATATAATATGTGGGGCATATATATGGAATTAGCTTGTATATTAATTTTAATTTTTAAAATAATTTAAAATTTAAAAATTTAATCATTTTTTAAATTTAAATATGAATATTTAATAAAATAAATTTTAAATTTTAAATAAATAAAATGACGTAATTTAAT